TGGTCAGCTTATGAAATAGTACTTTCAAAAAAATTATTTTTTTTAATTTGCCAGAGGGCACGTGTGCTCAGAGAGTGATATGGAGGCTGAAAGAAGTGAGGAACCCTCCACCATCGGACATGGTCACCCTGCAATCCCTTTTTCTCCATTTCTCCCTCCTTTCAGGACTGTAGGCATTCATGCACACATACTCAGTTTATTTTTTATGATACTAAAGCTGAGACTTAAATCGTGTTAGGCCATCCAGTTACCCTAACCACCAAACCACGGCTAGCCCTACCAAAACTATTTTTAAAAATAAATTTCTGATAATATTTTTGTTTAAAATGAAGAATTTGTGGTGGGGGTAAAAGGGACATGAGGACAAAAGGCTTGAAATGAAACTCTTCCCAGGTAGACAGAAAGTACCATCAGCCTAAGTGTGCAGTCAGAAATAGTTTATGGGCTTACTCCTGAGGAGGCAGCTGTATTATCTCCTGTGGTTATTCACATACTTTTAGGGATCCAGCACACAGGGCCTGTCTCTAGAGTTTATTACACGCTTTCCCTATCTTAGTGGCAATTATAGAACTGTGTTCTCTATCAGTGTCCCGGGAAGAAGAACTGTGCCTTACACCATATTTCTGTTGCTAAAATCGAATGCTATGACTGGGTAACTTATAATATAGTTTATTCAGCTCACAATTCTGAAGAGCCAGTGTTTGGGGGCCACATATGTTGAAGGCCTTCTTGCTGATGGAGACTTTGCAGGGTCCCGAGGCAGTGCAGGACATCGCCTGGCAAGAGGGAAGAGCATTTGGTCTCTCTTTTCTGAGAAAGACACCAGTATTTATATGGGTTCTACATTGATTACTTTATCTTATCCTAATTACCTTCCAGCCTTCCAAGGCTCCACTTCTCTCTCCTTTTTACCACCCTCCCCCCACACCCAATACAGGGTCTTTCTGTGTGGATCCTATTGCCTCAATCTCCCAACTGGGACTGGAGGCATTTGTCACCAGGCCTTTTTTACATGCAGGGACTTACTCTGTTGCCCAGGTCAGTCTGGAACTTGTGATCTACTTGCCTCAGTGTCCTAAGTTGTTGGGGTTTCAGTTGTATTCCCCATGCTCGGCCTTTATGGTAAATTGGAAATGAACAAGGCCTCCCATGGCATCCCAGCCTGTGACACAGCAACATCTTAGCAGCAGGAAGCACCATACCAAAGGCCCCACGCCTCAATACCATGGTTGTGTTATGTTTCCTCCATCATCACAGTACCAACCAAACTTCAGCATGGGAACTTTTGGCAACGTGTTTAAATAATACCAGATTACCAAGCTCTGACACGCCTGGGACTGTTTGGCCATTTAGCCAGATCTGAAAATGCCTGAGTCCATCTTAAAAGGAGAGTTTATTAAGCCCCTAGAGGAAATAAACAAATAACTGCATTTGTTATCTCTCTCAAAATGTTGAATTGGGGGGAACCAGCAGTTAGCGTAATGGCTATGTCACTGGACTCCCACGTAGTCGACCGTGGTTCGCGTTCCAGACCGGGTGGCTTAGAACTCATGTCGGGCGCATGTGCGTGCATGCCCAAGATCCTGAGAGGAGAATAGAGGAGAAGGGATTGCAGCGTGACCATCCCCCCGGGGGGTGATTTCTCGCTTTCTGTCTCTATGTCTCTCTCTGTCTGTCTGGCGAGCGCACGCGCCATATAGCGAAAACCTCTCAAAAAAAAATGTTGAATTTGGGATCTTTTAATTGATGATTTTTTTATTTAAAATACATGGCTAGGCTGAAATGAGGCAAGAACAGAAATGCTGGTTATTGGTCACTTGGGGGAAGCTGGAATCTATTGCTTATTAGCTCACAGCTGTTCTTATAAGCTTTTTGCCATATTTTTTCCCTTCAAAAATAGTTGCTTGGGTGAAGAATAAAAGACTTTTCATGTCCCTTTATATTTGGTATCTCCCTGTTTCTTAGTATGAAGTAGAATAGCCAATTTAGGTTTAGATAGCTGTGCCTTAACTGTTAGGCACATCAGTGTCAATTATGCAAATTACCTTATCTAATTAGAAATAATATTGTGGAGCTTTTCCTTAAAATTGAGATGTTCCAGGTAAAGTGCCTAGAACAGTGTTTGGTAAATGTGTGACCAATAAATAGCATATAGAAACATTAAAGAAGGAATAGAAGATTTTCTGTATTAATAGGTAGGGTCGGCTTTGGAGAAAGTTACCATAGATGCTCCTCCATCCACCGTCTCAGTGTCCTTCCTACTTCACCTCCTCCCCACTCACACACATCCCTTTTTATTGCCGATACTTGGGGATCTGATTATGCCCTTTAACTGGCCTCTTTTCCCAGTCTAGCATCTTCTGTTCTTGCTTCATCTTCCCCATCTCCTTCTTTCCAGGCCTTCTTGTCTTTTGACCTATGCATTTGCTGCTTGCTATGTCTAACCTTGAAATAGATCTGATAATGTCAGGTATGCCAAAACATTAAAGACTAACATCATTTTCATATGCCAATCTTGCTAGAAGGTATTTCCATTTTAGTGAAGGTCAGCATTATAAACTAAAAGTGCAAAAATTAAGATGGAAACATCAGCAACTAGAAGAGATGGGATATTTTAAAGAGAAGAACTCAATGTTAACAGTAAAAATAATCAACAACTAACGTTCTTTGGTGCCAACTCTATTGTGCACTGTGCTTTATATGCTATTTGTTACCTCATTTAACTCTTGCAACTAATAAGTTCTGTGCTATTATTTTTATTTTTCTGTTGAGACAAATGAAGCATGGAGAGGCTGAGCAAACTGCCCAAGAGCATATGCACCTAGTAAGTGCAGAAAGACAGGTTTGGAATTTAAGTCCATCTGACTTGCCACCATCTCTCTTACACTATCACTTTCAGACTGAATTTTCATCAGAACATGACTCTATTGGGTCATATTTGGATGGAAAAATATGTCATGACTTTCCTGGCAACCTAATACAAGCTTTCATTAGCATTTGCTAGAGCCTTATCCCATGCCTGGCATATGGTAAACAGTTAATTAGTCATTGATAAATGAATTATAAATAAATATCTTCTCTACCCATTCTGCTCTTCATTTACCTCTCTGGGATCACCTCTTGGAGGCCCTGCCTTTCTCAATAATCTAAGAACTCTGAACTGCTCAAAGTTTTATATACAGTTGGCCCTCTGTACCTGTGGGTTCATGACCACAGATCGATTTATTTATTGATTATTTATTTATTTATTTTAAAAAGATTTTTGCTATAGAGCATGTGAGCTTGCTAGAGAGACAGAAAGTGAGAAATTCCCCCCCCCCCGGGGGGGATTGCCCCACCACAATCTCTTCTCCTCTAGTCTCCCCTTGGGATTTTTGGCACGTACACACAGATGCCCAGTGTGAGTTTTAAGCTGCTGGTACTGGGACTTGAATCCTGGTCAATTGTGTGGAAGTTCAGCGATGTAACCATTACAGCATCTGCTGGTCCCTCATAGTCACAGATTTAATCAAGCACATATTGAAAATATTTAAAAAGAAGTCTCAAAACAATAAAAAATAACAAAACATAAAGAATACAGTATAACTATTTACATAGCATTTACATTGCATTAGACATTACAAGTAATCTAGCTATTTAAAGTATATGGAAGGCAACACACAGGTTTGATGCAAATACTATACCATTTTATATATAAAAGGCAAGCATTTATAGTTCTGGGTATCTGCACAGGGTCCTGGAACTAATCCTCGATGTGTATGGAAGGTTAATTGTATATTCTTCTTCCTCATGACTTTGTCTTTCTGTCACTCAGTCTCTCTACCTGCAGTCCTTCATGTCCCTCCACGTCTCTGCCTCCCACTTACCCTGAGAAACACGCCAGTGCTCTCCCTCCAGGAAGCTCTGCATCACTCTGTTCTCTTCTCCATCCTCTCTCCAATGTCTCCTGTCCTCTCCCTATCTTGACTCTCCTCCATCCTCTCTCCAATGTCTCCTGTCCTCTCCCTATCTTGACTCAGCCCAGCCAGGCAGTTTCCATATCTGGTCTTTCCATTAAGCAATGGCATTTTTGTGGACAAACTTTTGGCATATTTTTGTACTTGGCATTTGTTCAATTTTTTTTTCTCTATCTGACATATAGTGTGGAGATCTATTCTAGGCCTAGCCTAGTTTATTATTTCTTTTTTTTTGGGAGAGGTTTATTTCGCTATAGGGCACATGTGCTCACCAGACAGAGAGAGACATAGAGACAGAAAGCGAGAAATCACCCCCCAGGGAGGATGGTCACGCCGCAATCCCTTCTCCTCCATTCTCCTCTCGGGATCCTGGGCACGCACGCACACGCGCCCAGCATTAGTTTTAAGCTACCAGGTCCTGGATGCGAACCGTGGTCAACTACATGGGAATCCAGCGACATAGCCATTATGCTAACTGCTGGTTCCCCTAGTTTATTATTTCTAAAGTACATTTTTTATATTTTAATACATCTAATATTATGTCTCCTAATTGATAAAATCTTACATTTGTAATTTAAAGCATTATTTTTTCTGACAGCAAAACAAAAATAAGACTTGAATACTTTCTCCAATCAATGATATCTTTAATTTAAAGAAATACGGTGATAGATATTAAATAAAGAGAGGCCGGAAAATGGTTCAGTGGTAACACAATGCTCAGCAATGCTGACTCAAATAAAAAAGTTTCAGAATTTCCCAAAGAGTCCAGAGATTTTTCTGAATATACTCAGCGTGTGTGCCCATGATCCAGGACTGGCTGAAGCTGGGGTAGACTGCAAGCATAAGGGCCCCTCTGGGGTGCATGTACTCTCTTTCTCTCCTCTGTCATGGCAGAAAGAAATATGTAAACCTAAAAAATAATATGAGTGCATAAATGGCGTTCATGGCAATCCTTGAATCACATTAAGCTTATTTTTCCATGACAAAGAGAGACAGAGAGACACATGGATAGAGACAGGAGATGGGCACTCATACACAATCTTAATGCCAGAACTCAGCCCTGACTTCGATAGCCAGGATCATGGGCTTGTACATGAACACCTCGTATATACTGGGAGACCTGAAGATGTAAACCCAGAACCTTCCGATGTGGCTTCAGGATATCAGAGTGTGGCATTTCTTCTGGTTTTCTCAGCTGGCCTCAAATCTGCCTATTTAAAACCTGGCCGTCTTACATCACAGGTATTGCAGCAAGGCAGTAGCTGAGCATTATTCTTTAACTTAGGCTTTCCTAGCATACGTAAAACTAAGACTGAAAAGTTAGTTGCAGTTGTTCTTAATCATTTCTTTCTGGAATGATGTGACCTGTTGCATATATTTATCTTCTAGGTGAAATTGATCTTCAAATTCTCTCCAAAGTTCAGGCTCAATACCCAGGAGTTCATATCGACAATGAAGTTGTTGAGCCAAGTGCTGAACAAATCACCAAGTACAAAGGTATCACATGGTGCTGCCTGCCAAATCCGACCCTCAAAGACTTATCATCTCAAAGGTTGCCCTTGATGATTACTAATAGAGTTATTATGGTGTGCATTTGGTAAGCTATTCAGAGAAGAACCTAGTTAATTGGTGGCAGGTCGGACTCCCCCCCGGAATGTGAACAGTGAGCAATTAACCTCCTTTTTTATTGACTGTCCAACCATTCCCTTATTGTCAACTGTCACTTTTCATATTTATTCTTAGAGACTGAGTCTTTCATTTAGGAATAAACAGAGACCTTTCCTTTAAAGAACTTATGTTCAATGGGTTATGGCAGGAATTGTGCACTTTTTCTTAAGAGGGCCAGTTATTAAGTATCTGAGACTTAGTTCACACAGCCTCTGCTACAACTAGTCATCTCTGTTGTTGTGGCACCAAGGTGGCCATAGATAATACGTAAGCTGAGTGTGAGTATGTTCCAATAAAACTATTTATAAACACTGATACCTGAATCTCATACCACTTTTACATATAATGAAATATTATTTTAGATGTTTTAATCCACTTAAAAATGTAATGGCAGTATAGCCTGATGGCTAACAAGGCTGGATCCCTGGGGCCAACAGGTGGCATGGAGGATGAAGTCCTGAACCTGACTGGTTGAAAAATCACAAAGGGCATGTGTGTGTGCATGCTCAAAATCCCAGGAGAATGAGAAGGAATTGCAGCATGGTCGTCCCACCTGGAGGATGATTTCTCACTTTCCCTTTGTCTCTCTGATGAAAGCACATGGCCTATGACCAAAAAAAGAAAAGAAAAGAAAAGAAAAGAACGGCCTATGACCAAGAAAAGAAAAGGAAAGGAAAGGAAAGGAAAGGAAAGGAAAGGAAAGGAAAGGAAAGGAAAGGAAAGGAAAGGAAAGAAAAGAAACAAACATAAAAACAGTTAAAACCAAACAAACAAACAAAAACAAGAGAACTGGATCCACATAGCTGACCATGTGGTTCAAATCTCTAATCTAGCAATTTGAAAAACACACCAGGTGCATGTACATGCATGCCCAAAATCCCAGAAGGAAGAAGAAATAGGGACAAGTTTGTGGAGACAATGCCACATGTAGGGTGTCTTCTCCTTCTTCCTCTGGTGAGTCATATATCCTCTGGCAAATTAAAAGAAAAAATTGTGATGGTATGAGGCATGAATATCAGAGACATGAAGCCAGGAAGTCCAATGATACATGTTTTTATCTTATAGTCCATACAAAAATAAGTAGTGATGGGACCAGCTGATGGTGTAATGGTTATGTTGCTGAACTCTCACATAGTCAACTTTGGTTTGAGTCCCAGATCCAGCAGCTTAAAACACGCCGGGTGTGTGTGCATGTGTGCCCAAAATCCCAAGAGGAGAATGGAGAAGAAGGGACTACAGTGTAGCCATCCCTCCTGGGGAATGATTTCTTGCTTTCTATCTCTCTGTCTCTCTGGTGAGCACACATGCCCTATAGCAAAAATTTCTCTTAAAAATATAAAAACTAGGTGGTGAGGACTGCTACAGTGGTGTAGCAACACTTTGCAAGGCTGACCCACATGGAAAGGCTCTGGGTTCGTGTCTGGACATCTCCCTGAACAGGCCAAGCATGTGTATACCCATGAGCCATAGCTGAAGCTAGAGGTGAAACAGCATGAAAACCCTATTGGGTCCTTTTCTCAGAAGAAAGAAATAACAAACAAAAATAGGAAATAGTGGCAGGACAGACACAGTCCCTGGATCATGGTTGTTTCATCCTGGGTTATACAACTATATCACCAGTTTCCAAACAAATGGCCACTGATAAAATTTATCAGTTCGTTTGCCACTAATATAGCATATGTCTGATCAGGGTTCTCATAATTATTTCTTATTGACCCTTTTTCACCTCCAATTTCATTTAATATTAGAAAAAAATCAGAATAAACTCTCTGGTCTCCCAAAACTACATAAAAAAGAAAAATGGGCTTTATATCTGTTATGTATATAAATAACATTGATTGCATTAAAATTCTAAATGGAAATGGGTTCCACATTTGCAATTAAAATTGATGGTGTGCCACCTCTTCTCTGTATTTTAGAGCTCGTAGCCAAGACATCAAACCTCGAGAACATAAAGTTTGCTTGGCATAAGGAGACATCGTCTGAATATCAAAATAAAATGGTGGCAAAAAAAGAGCTTCAAAAGTGGGACTTTATTCATATGATTCAGGTAAGAAATATGTATTATAATATACTTTTAGAAAGTAGATTTTTAAGAAATATATATGCAGATTGCCTAGTGTTTTAATTTTTAAAAGAAAAAATGACAATCTCCTGATTTCTTATTTTAAAAGTGACCATAATCTGTCCACATAGATGTTGATAATCTAAATGTTCTCTTCTACATTCAAAAAGTCAGTTTTCTCTACCATACAGTTTTAACTTTTTTTCAAGGTTAGCTTAATTATTATTTTTTTTTTTTTTAGGATAAAAGACATTTATATGTAGGTTTGAGGATAGAATGATAACATATCTTAGCCAATTCTCCAAGAATGCTAATGTTCTAGGAGGACTAGTGTTGCAGGATTTCTCTGCATTCTCTCGCTCTTTCACTCTGTAGAGGGCCAAGCTAGTATGCATATAGCAGAAGGGGCAGGTTAGATGCTTCCTCAGATAAAGTTTTACTGATATCAGTCAGTCTTCCAGTAGCAATTTTCGTTCATGATCCATTATAGCAGACTACCTAGAATGGGCTATTGAGAAGCTGACATGGAGCCAGATTTCCAGGGATGACTGATATTTCTGGATAGCATAGAGGATGTATAGTCTTCAAAAGTTGGCCACCATCTGGAGATGTACATATTTTAGAGATTCCATTTGATTGACAACAAACCACTTTTCCCCCTGTAGTCTACAACCATAGTCACCTTCAGGAATGAGCTTAACGGAAATGAAAGCAAAATATGACTAAGTTTAATCTATCTTGGCAATTCTACCTCTCTGCTCCCTTAGCTGACAAAATCTTTAGTTCTTCAAGGAACACAAGGAATACTGTTAAGTGAGCCTAGGAAGTTTATTAGATGTATTTTCCTACCTCCTCACAAAACTATTTTCTTAAACCTCCTGCAAACTCTCCTGGGCCAGTCATTCCTAACCAATGATCTCATATCATACAGCAGAGAGAAAACAGCAACCATTAGACAGAAACTCGTCTTTCACTCTCTAAACTTGGAAATGCAGCTGGACTTGAGCTGATTTTCTCCTTCTGTCTTATTACAAAGGCCAGTTCCTCCATTTTACCTTAGGTCCTTTTATAACATTTTTCTATTATAAAATGTGTGGCTTTAGGGATCAGCTTTTTTTCTCCCATTTATCTCAAATTTTCCATATTTGTAATTTCTCTTTGCAACTCTGCTTCCTTCTGTTTTTCTAGTTTATTCTGTTCTCACTCCCTGTTTGTCTACTGTGCATTTTTCTGTACTGTACCTCTGTCTCATATTGCTAGCACCCTCATGACATTTTTTTTCAACTTGGTATTCACTGTCAAGCTGGAGAATTTCAGTGTGTCATAGACAAAATTTCAGGGTATTTGAGATGTCTCAGGACCAGCAATTCACATAATGGCTATATCGCTGGACTCCCATGTAGTCAACAGTAGTTTGAGTCCCAGATCCAGTGGCTTAAACTCATGCTGGGCGTGTGTGTGTGTACATGCCCAAGATCCCAAGAGGAGAACAGAGGAGAAGGGATTGCATCATGGCCATCCCTCTGGTGGGTGATTTTTTGCTTTCTGTCTTTCTGGTGAGTGCACGTGCCCTGTAGTGCAGGGTGGGGAGGACGAGAGAGAGATGTTTCACTCTTTGTTTTTTCAGCTAGGCTTTGTCATAAGTTGTTAGTTGTATCTGGGTATCTACCTGTGCTCCACATTGTAGACAATATGGAGCAACAGATACTAATTAAGTCCCTAGAAAGCATGGACCACATACAGGTCCACTTTATTTTTTATTCATTTATGTGAAAGAGACATAGCTTAAGTTGTTCCTTTTATTCACAAGATTATGTTATGGGGATCTTACATAGAATATGAATTCTTTCCTAAGAGATAAAAGACTGATAGATATAAGAAGTGTTTGTGGGGTGGTTTCCAACGATGCAAGTCCTTAGTGAAAATTCTCACTTCTAACATGTAATTCTAAGCTCCGCACGTTGGGTGCAACGCCTCCTCCCTGTATCAGGAGGGATCCTGTTCTGGAATTATTAAAAATGGGTAGGCTAACCCTTAGAACCCTATGGCCAAGGATGTACTCTCACGCTTTATCCAGTTAATTTCCTAGAGAATCTGTCGACATCAGAGCCTGTCATATTCTGATTTTTAAAAAGCATCTTTGAGGGACCAGCAGGTGGCGTGGTGGTTAAGGCGCTGGACACTCCCACATGGCCGACCACAGTTTGAGTCCCGGACCTTGTGGCTTCCTTTCTCACTTTCTTTCTCTCTCTTTCTCTGTGTCTTTCCCTGGCCAAATTAAAATAAATGAATGAATAAATCAAATTAAATAAATAATTAATTTTTAAAAAAAGCATCTTTGAGCGTATGGAGAAACTAGTTGCAAAGGGCTAATTTTAAAGCCATGTTCCATCAAATGGGGTCTGTTTTTACCAGCACCATATTCTCCCAGAAGAACTACAGTTCACAAACTATAAAACAGGCATTAGATTGATGCTCCCACATGAGAACAAGCATGGAATGGAGAACAAGTATCTTCAGCTATAAATGTCTGTGTTATAGAGTACATTTAAAACTATTAACTATTTTTTTAGTTGAACAAATATCATAGTCTTCCCTTTCCCCAAATATTTTCACACACACACACACACACACACACACACACACACACACACATATATATATATAATCTTTAAAATTTTTAAGCATTTTGTTAAATGAAAATCCACTCAACTGGAAAATCAAACTCTTTATTGTTGTTTGGTCTCTAGATCAAACAACAAAAGACTTTAACATAAAGAAGTGTCTCATTTCTCTTTTCCCTCTTGTCTAGATGCTGTATTATGTAAAAGACATTCCAGATACTCTTAAATTCTTCCATAGTCTCTTAGCTACCAATGCTAAGATCCTCATTGTTCTTGTGTCAGGTAAGTTATTTTTATTTAGCCTGAATTTTGAATTAGCAATAGTGTACATATGCATAGATGCATGTGTTTGGAGGAAGCTAGTATGTTTTTTCTTTATTATCGAATCTCTGCCTTGCTTTCTAATTGCGGTCAGTTTTCGTTGTTTTAGGAAAGTCACTTACAGCCACTCTTTATTTAGAGGGGTGTAGTGGAATTAAATGTCGTTCTCTCTTTTGAGAAAAGCATCTATGTCTTTTATACATAAATTATTTTTATTTAACTTAGAGGAAATTTGACTGATAGCTTTTAAATGAAACTAAACAGTAAATATTTACCTTTACTCATTATATGTGGCTTGAGTGTCTCATTTCCTCTGTAATATTAATAAATAATGTTTAAACATTTGAGGTGCTATCATGGATTAAATTTGGATTTCTAGAGCTATTAGCAACACAGTTCCTTATAGATTTTCTTAAATACTATCAAAATGATTACTTTCTTTGTTTTGTAGTTGTGTCTTATTTTTCAAAGAGGACACTGGCATGTTGCTTAAGTACTGCCCAGAGTAGATACATGGACGCTGATGGAAACAAAACGCTGTAGAGTTTACTTCCTACCTGTGTGAGCTTGGTCTCAAATCTTTTTATTTATTTATTTTTCAGAGAGATTTTTTGCTATAGGGCACATATGCTTTCCTGAGAGAGAGAGAGAGAAAGAGAAAGTAAGATATCACCCCCCAGGGTGGGGGGGTAGCCAGACCACAATCCCTTGTCCTCCAGTCTCCTCTCAGGATTTGGGCATGCATGCACAGGCATCCAGCGTAAGTTTCAAGCCACCAGGTTTCAGGTCTGGAACTTGAACCACATTGGCCATGTGGGAGACCAGAAATGTAACCATTATACCACCTGCTGGTCCTAGTCTCAAATATTTTGTTTATATGAAGACTGTTTCTGAATCATTTATCCATATATGTGGTTTGTGTTAATATGCAAATATGTATTCATTGGAATAAAAGCACACGAAAGGAAGTAAAGACTGAAAAGTAAATTGGATTTTTTTGAAAAGCATTTTAAGTAAAAAATTATTTATTCAATGTAGTTGATGGCGGAAACAGTTTATTCATTTACTGTGCAGTTCACAGCTCTCATGACTGCTTCCACCAGGAGAGTCAGCTGTGCTAGAAAGGAAACCACTGTTAATAGCCTGTTCCTAGACATAAGATACAATAACAGTTGTCAGAGATTAAAGGGACTCTGAGGATTTGCTGTACGCATTTCTTTAAAAAATAGAAGTGCACATAGCTATAGAAGAAATATTGGGTTGTCATGACTTTTTCAACAACCTAATACAACATCCATTTTCTTATAGAAGCACCACTTAGCAAAAGGCAAAAGCAGATTTAGATATTTTATTTGAGACTTTCCACCTCTCTTTCCTAAGATAAAAAATGTCTTAGCATTTTTACCTATACTTATGAAAGTATTAAATACAAAGTTAATAATTATAAAATGTTTGTAAATGAACCAACTTTCCCAATATAGTATACATTGTAGTTCTAGAAAATATTATGCTTGAAAAAGAAAATATAATACGTTGATCCCTGTTACCAACTTAGTGCAACTGGAATGTCCACAGGTTTCCCAGACATATTTAACTCTTAAAAAATGTAAAGCAAATTACTGGAGCTCTTATCCTAAATTACTTGAGTAGTCCATCCTCCTCTCCAGCACTCCTATATTCAGGAAAATTCCTTATGCTCCTGATGGTTGCCAGCCAGTTTGCTTCAAATCTCTACTCCCAGGTTAACTTTTGACTTCCGTCCCAATCCAGCATGTGCTCCAGCTCCCTTTCTCATCTGGTTTCACTTTGCCCCAAGCATGAGTATAGCCCTGCTCCTTTGCTCTGTAATGCACCATTTGCTGCTATTGAGAGATGCTGACCTGTGAAGAAGAGGGAACAGAATTCAGCTCTCAGTTCCTTTGGCCTGTCTCTTACTGGTGTGGGCCCATCTTCCTTGGACCTACTCTCACATCTTCTCACAGAGCTCCCTCATATCCTCTTAGCTCAGTGCTAAGGCACCAACACTTCAGTCCCTTACTCCAGCCCTCTTCTTTCTTAGGTAGAACAGTCTACTTTTGTTTGACCTCTATCACTGAGATAATCCTATGCACTCATGAACTTGTCTTAATAGCAACACTTTTTTTTTTTTCCTGAGATAGATTCTGTTGTTACTCAGTGTATGGAAGTGACTATAATTTTCTTTTTTAAAAAATCTAATAATTACTATATTATTTTAGTACACTCATGACAAATGTATGGGCCAGCTTTTTTTTTTTCTAAGAGTCTTTTGCCTTAGGGCACATGCACTCTGGGGAGAAGGGGGAGAAAGAGACAGAGATAGTGAGAGACAAAGTGAGAAATCGCCTGCCAGGGGAGATGGCTACACTCCTGTTCCTTCTCCTGCATTCTTCTCTCAGGTTCTTGGGCATGCATGCACATGCACATGAACCTCGCATGAGTTTCAAGTCATCAGATCCAGGTCAAACCACGACTGACCATGTGGGAGTCCAGCAACGTAACCATTACACCATCTGCTGACCCATGGGTCAACTTTTAAAAGATAGGTTAAGCTTAGTTTCCAACTTTGGAAATAAATTTAAGCATAAGACATTTCCAATTGGATTTTTTAAAATATGAGCATAATGACAATATATATGAATGAGCCACAGTATTTCTAGACATTTTTGGCATTTCATGATAGAGCTTCAAATCGTCTGTATGACTAGTCTATAGATAGAAAACGAGTTTGAGAAACCGTCTTAGGTTGAGGTGCACCTCTGTGTATGAACCACTGCCCTAGCCTAACTTCTCAGGGCAAAGTACAATGCTTGAAACCCCACTCCCCATCTATTTGTGATTTTAAAACTTGAATGTTGCTCTAAAAATTAGAA